AGCCTTTAAAAATGCTATTTTGTCGCGCATGGCCAACAGCATGAAGCGTCGCGCGATCTGAGGCGTCATGGGCGCCATGCGAAGCAGCCCGGGCGGGGAAAAATCCAATCGTTGCACCATGCTTATTGAAGTTCCACATTTGTTGCTTTAATGCTGCCCAGCGAATTAGCCCTCGTTTCAAACGACGCTATTACGCTGACACCTGCTAGCCTGCTAGGCTTGCAGCAACTCTATTCGGGGGTTGGGATACTTCACTTGCAGGATAAAACCTTACGCTGCACTAACAATGGTGCAGGTTGAAACGCAAAAGCTTGCATGGACGGCGCACACTGCCATGCCAGGCAAAGCACATCCCTGGGTGGGAGTGCCCACCCATCATGCGTGCATGTCAAGAACACCCTTATGGGTCTGAAAAGAGCTAAATCAGGCAGTGCCTTTTTGCGCATTACATGCTGTTCAATAGCTTTTACAGGTAGCAATAGAATTTTCCAGGACAGGCGGCGCTTATAACGCAGCCCGCATGAGCGGGTAAGACGCGCGCAAGTCGCGCCTGCGCAGCTGCCAGCCATGCCAGCCTAACGGCTGCACGAGCCGCGACGTGGCGAACGAGAAGGGTTGAAAAGGCATGAAAAACAACGAAATACAGCATGTGCGGCCGCATTGCCACCTGATTTGGCGACCGCAGAACAACGTGGAAGTCGCGGTCACCGCGGGCACCACCGCGTTGACAAGCACGCATATTGGCGTGTGAAAGTGAAAGAAAGTTGAACAGGACTTAAAAATACATTAAAGCGCACAGCTCGCACAGGCGCGTTTAGACCTGAGAAGCTTGCCTTGCACATGTGCGGGCTGCGCAGGGTGTCCAGGCAAGGCCCAGGGCGTCGAGCACCCAGCTGCGGCGTCAGCGCCTGCTTCAGCGCTCGCTTCGCAACCTGGGCCCAGTGCACGCGCACTCCACGAATGGCTGTCTTGGCCCTGGCCCGTCGCGCGCCGCGCTGACGCCGCGCGCGGTCGTCCGCCGCCAACACAACAGCAGGCCGCCGGCCCGATCGCAAGTAGCCCTGAGCCAGCGCCTCATCGTCGCCGCAATCCTCAAAAGCTCCAGCGGCTGGGCAATGGGGTTGGTGGTAGCGGGTGCTGCGTCACTCCGCAACTCACTGCAGCGCTCGTGCCGCATACGGGGCGGCCCAGTGCATGCGCACTGAAGGACAGAGTATCCGGGCCCTGGCCCGTCATGCACGGCGTGAGCGCCGCGTGCGTTCGTCCGCCGCCAACACGACAGTGTGCGCAGCCCCCACCACTAACTGCCCCGCCCCAAAGCCTCATCACCTCGTGATCTTGAACGAGCTCCCGCGGCTGCGCATGGATGTCAGTGGTAGCAGGTGCTGCGTCCGCGCCGCGCACAAGCCCGCGCCGCTTTGCCTTCGCTGTCGCTGCTGCTGGAGAAACCACAAGTGACTGCGTCGCTATTTCCCGGCTTGCCCTGCAGCCACCTGTCCAGGTTGATCACACCAGCTGCCACTTCTGGATACGCCAGCGACGCCTGCTCTGTAGCTGGCAACAGCACGTCCCAATGCCGCTGATGGGTGTGGCGCGCAATGTAGCGCTTGATGATGGTCTCCACATGGTCCTGCTGCTGCCCAGCCCCTCATCGCAAATCAGCGTCCCTGCAAACGTAAAGGACCGCAGCCACTGCAAGTTGACACATCATGTGAGCGCGCGCTCATCAACACACGTGCACATCTCCACCGACAGACATCTGGCGTGCGCGCAGGTGCTGGTGGCCCGCAGCAGGTGGATCGCACCTGTAGCGGCAGCGCAGCGCCTGCTCCTCGCGGCAGCGCAGTGCCCGCAATGCAGTAGTGCAGAAAAGCGGGGCCTCTAAATACCATCGTTTCCACGTCGCGCACAGTGAAGCATTCCGGCGTACTGTATTCATGAGCTGCCAACTGTCTTAGCAAGATCGTGCTCAATTGTAGAGAAGCTACCCAGGATAACTTTGCCTGTGTGCAGGGCTGCCAGCAAAACCTGGAGTGCGGGCGCGCTGAGCGGAGCAACAATGCGCGGAAGGGCTCGGGAAGATGATGAATCCTTACGAAGCCTATGGCGCCAGTGACTCACTCCACCGATTGCAAGCTCGTGTTGATCTGACCTGCGCCTCTGCACCATTTAGCTGCCATATTAGCTTTTGATGAAGCTTTATAAATGCCGTTTTGTCGCGCACGCCGGACAGAGCATGAAGCGTCGCGCGATCTGAGGCGTCATGAGCGCCATGCGGAGCAGCCCGGGCGGGGAAAAATCTATTCGTCGCACCATGTTTATTGACACTCCACGTTTGTTGCTTTAATGCTGCCTAGCGAATTAGCCCTCGTTTCAAACGACGCTATTCACTGTGCCGCGTCGTCGCCATATTGAAGAAAGAACACAAAAAATATTACTGCCAGCTGGATCATCAGGCGCAGACTGGCCTTTCTGCCTCCACGTGCCAACCCTTCATCTTTCTGCTTTCTCACATATGTTTGTACACCTGCCACCAGCCGCCGCGCTGCTGTGCGCCCAGCCTCTGAAAAATGCTACAAAGGTCTGAAATCACACATGCCTGAGGGCTTCGCACGATTCGGCAAAGGTTTTCGGAAGCCATGATCGCATGTGTTGACTGTGCTGCCTGGGATGACTGTGCCTCGAGTGCCGGCACAGAATCACGATGAATGCTGTTCCAATGCTCCTCCAGCAGCAGAAGCATTCTTCATTTGATGCGTATCCCTCTCACCAACACTGCGTTCATCTCAGCTATCATCAAATCACCTCGCCGGCTGATCTGAAGTGAGCGCAGCGGCGGCCGACAGCATTATGTTAAAGTCATGTATGGAGTAGTACTGGATGGCTAAGTCCTAGCCGCGACGTCCTTGATGGCGGTGGTGAGTGCAGCCGATAGCTTGCGCACTCCTGCTGCCTGGTTACGCACATTGCATATCTGATATATTAATATTTGCCGCTCAGGCTGTGGGCATGGCCCTGCCTGCGCCTTGCGGCTGCCAGGACGCCGGCCGGCGATCTGCAGCTGCGCGTCCCAGGACTGCCAGCGCCGCACCAGCTCGCGTCGCTGTTTTCTGCGACCGCCCAGTCGGCTCCAGCTGCAATTCTGCGCGCGCAGTCGCCTGGGCGACGGTCGACGCTGCCAGTATCGCCGCTGGCGCTGCCAAGGCAGCGACGGGGCTGGCTCAGGCTTCACGGCAACCCAGCCTCTCCTGCACAGACGGGACCGCGCTATCCCCCCTCCAAGGGGCAGCTGACACGGCATATTGGGTGGCCGCAATACAGGCCCTGGAGAGCCCCGACTGCAGCGCTCTGGACGTTGCAGCAATCACCGAGAGCGCTGCCGGGCTGTCCAAGCCGCTGCCGCTGCCGTTCTTCGACGCGCTGTTCGCCGCAGCTGCCCGCGCCGTGCCCTCTGCGCCCGCGGCGGCGTGTGCGCGGCTGGCTGCCGCGCTCGGCGGCGCGCGGGCGCAGCCGCCTTCGCCGCTGAGGGCGCTGCTTGCGGCCAGGCTCGAGGCAGGCACGTGGGACGGGCAGGCGCCGGCTCTGGTCCACGCGGCCTCGCAGCTGCATCGCATGGGCCACGCGTGGACCGCCGCGGCCGCATGGGCGCTGCTTGCGAGGGCGGCGGCGTCCCTCCCGGACGCGGCGCGGGAGCCAGAGTGCGCGGCGACGGCGAGAGGGAACCAGTGCCGCGAGGGGCGGCCGCTGCCCTCGCCTCAGCAGCAGGAGGCGGGGCAGGAGCACGCGGAAGGCGAAAAGGGCCAGGCTCCACACGTGTCGCAAGAGGAGCACCAGCAGGGCGGCGAGCACAGGGGCCTGGGACCCTTGCACATTGCAGAGCTGCTGATCGCTCTTCGGCCAGCGCTGCAACAAGCGCCGCGATGGCCCTGCGGTGGCGGGACTGCAGGCGACTGCGGCGGCAGCGACAGCAGCGGCGGCGGCAGAGGCGGCAGCAGCAGTGAGGCGGGCATGCAGCCACGCCGACAGGACAGCAGCCAGGACATCAGCAGGGGCGGCGGCGCCCCAGGCAGCGACTGCGTCATCGCCGGCGGCAGGGGCGGGGGCGGGGGCGGCGACCCTTTGCTGCGGCTGTGGCAGCATGCGGTGGTGTGTGTTGAGCTGTCGGTGAACGGCCTGCCAGGAGGAGAACTGGGTGCCGGCACCGAGGAGTCGGCACCAGCGGCCGCGGACGGCGCGGCGCGCGACCGCGCGGTGCATGAGGTCCTCGCGCTGCTGCACGCCATGCACTCGCTGCCCGCGCTGCGAGCCGCAGGCGCCGGCGCGCCCTCGCGCTGCCTGCTGCGGCTGTCCCTGCGGCTGTCGCTGCGCTGCGGCCTCCACCAGTTGATCCCGCTGGCGGCGGCGTGGCGGGCGCTCGGGGAGCCGCTGCACTGGAGCGCGCTGATGCGCCTCGCGCGCGGGCCGCTGGCGCCGCTGTCGTCGGCCAAGCTGGCCGCCGCCGCCGCTGCGCTTGGCGGCGCGCCGCCCGGCGCGCGGCGCGCCAAGGCCGCGGCGGCGGCGGTCGCGTCAGAGGCGCTGGCGCGGCTGCGTGCGGGGCGGATGCCGGCGGCGGCGGTGGTGGAGATGTGTGCGGCGCTGCCGCACCTCGTCCGCCTGGGGTGGCCTGCGGACTGCGCGGCCGCGCTGCTGACGGCGGCTGAGGTCGCGGCTGGCGATTTGCAGCCACCTCAGCTGTGGCAGCTGCACCTGTCGCTGCAGCAGCTAGCGCCCCGGTGGCCGGCGCTTGCTGCGACCTCAGAGCACGCGTGGTGGCCGGTGCAGGCGCAACGCGCGAGCGTGCGCGTGCGCAAGGAGCGCTGTGAAGGGTCTGGCAGCAGTGACAGACAAGCGGCTGTAGCGGCAGCTCCAGCAGGGGGAGCAGCGGCAGCAGCAGGGGCAGCAGCAGAAGCAGAAGCAGCAGAAGCAGGAGTAGCAGAAGCAGCAGCATCAGAAGCAGATGCAGCAGCAGCACAAGGAGCAGCAGGAGCAACAAGGACAGTCGCGGAAAGGGTTACGCATAGTGGCCTGCTGCCGCGGCCGATTCATCCTGCCCAGGGCAATGCGCCCTCAGGCGGGGCACCTGGGCACAGGGAGCAGCGCAGGAGCCGCGCAGAGGTGCCTGCAGGGCCTGCTCAGTACACCAACCATGGTCAGGAGTTGCCTCGTGTCGAGCCAGCGGCAGACGCTCCAGGCGTCAGCCCCGCCCAGGCTGCAGAGGAGCGGCTCGCCTCGCTGAGTCAGCGCGTCGCCCGCCTGCTCGCTGCCCTTCCCGCTGAGCAGCTACCATTTGCTGCCGCGCCGCCGGCGCTGGAGCCAGGGGCGGTCGCGGTGTCGGGGCCGCACGGCGATGAGGAGGCGGCCGCGGCGGACGGGCTGAGCGCGGCCGTTGCAGCGCGCAGGCAGGCGGCCACGCTGCTGTGGCGCGCGCGGGGCGCCCTCGCGTCCCCAGCCCTGACGCCTGACGGACTGGCGGCGGTCTGTGCGGGCATCGTGCGCCTGTTTGGCCCGACACGCATGCGGCGCGCCGCGATGCGCGAGGTGCGGCAGCGTGCGGCGACGCGGCGGGCGCTCGAGGCGGCGGCGTGGGTCTGGATGCAGCCGCCGAGCGGCGCCCGCAGGGGCTCGGGCAGGGCCGCGGGCGGCGCTGCAGAGGCGGCTGCAGAGGCGCTCTCAGCCGGCCACCACCACCACCAACAGCAGCACGAGAAGCAGGAAAATGGGTGGGCCGGCCTGCTAGACGGGACGCAGCTGCTGGTTGTGCTGCGCGCGCTGTCGCTGCTCGGCGCAGACCCTCACTCAGGCGTGGCCGGGCAAGTCGCCGCCGCCGCGCACGCCTCCCTCACGTCTCTCCCGCCGCGTGCGCTCGCTGCCGCGCTGTGGCGGCTGGCGGGGCTGCAGCTGCCGGGAAGCTGCCTTTGCTGGGATGCATTGATGCTGCGGCTGCTGCTAGGGGCCGTCCCAGCGATGGGCCCCTCGGATGCGCTGGCGGTCGCATGGGCCATGGTGCAAGGCGCCGGCTTCCGCCCCGCGCCCTCCGCTGCCGCGCCGCTGCTGGGGCGGCTGCTGGACGCGCCGACGCTCGCGGCGCTCGCGCCGCCGCAGCTGCTGCGCCTCGCGCAGCTGGTCAAGGTGCTGCGCGCCGCGAGCGCGGCTGCGGGGGCCGGGCCGGCGGTGCGGGCGCGCGGTGGGGC